GGGAAGGATGGATGGATGGATGGGTAGATAGATGGGTGGATGGATGGATGGGTGGATGGATGGATGGATGGATGTATAGATGGATAGGTAAGTGGATGTATAGATGGGTGGGTGGATGAATGGGTAGATGGGTGGATGGATGGATGGGTGGATAGATGGGCGGACAAATGAAGAATGGATGAAGAATGAAAATGAGGACTGGATAAAGAGTGGATGAAAGAGGCAGAAAGATGGATGGTGGATGGTTAACACCCGTTTTCTCATCTGACCTTGAATTCAAGGAATTCTTGTTTTAGTTTCTAATTACATAAGCATTTTTAAATGTTCAAAACCTAACAGTATAACATTTACTTCTCTGATTCCAAGAGTTGGCTGAAAGAGTCTGTACGAGAAACTATAAGCATATGGTCTCATCAGTTGCCCATGGTAGGGTTTGTTTATTTATTTATTTATTTATTTATTTATTTAAATCAAGTTAAAAGAAAGGCTTTTGATAAACACAGTCTTACTTGCCTATTGACCAAATTTGAGAAGTGCTTGCTTTTGTTGACACACTTTCCAGTTAGGCTTCTGCACTCTCAGCTCACCTTCGTCGGCCTCCCCTGTACCTCTTAACCTCTGTCACATGCGTCATACAACTGCAAGTGATTGATTTGCGTCTGCATCTTATCATGGAGGATTCTCTCTGGATGCTTTCTTTCTCTCTGCATGAACACCTCTAATTCCTTTGCCTTTTTCCAATGTTGTTTGTAGCAGTGAGTTTGTGCTACATTGCTTTGTGCTCCCGGCAGATCATGCGTGCACACCAGCCCAGGAGCTATCTCTGGATTCATGAATGAAACACACACATGTTAGCTTATTTTTAAAATGCCTTAGCTACCTCAAAGGCTGGGCACTACTAAACCTTCCCCTGTTACCCCAGGCCCAATCTGGGAAGCGGCCAGTGGCCCCTTACCTGAATTCTTACATGGCTCACTGACTCTCTCTCCTGAAGCTCTCTTCTTCCATCTCCTACTACATCCTGGGGATCCTCCATCTTCTCCCCTCTGCGTCCTAGCCCGGGGAACTCTAAGGGTCCCGCCCCATATCCAGCAATTAGCCATGAGCATCTTTATTGATCAATCAATAACCAATTAGGGACAAGGACTGGGCATGCAGATTCCCAATTGAATGAAAGCATTAGAACCAATCTCCAGCAGTTGTCCATGGAGAGTTTGAGGTTGGGGACTTTTTTTTTAAAACCCCGAGAGAAGTTGCAACATGCTGGATGTTCCTGTTAAACTCAGAACAGATTGTTTTAAAATATTTTATTAATTCTTTGAGAACATCACCTAATATATTTTGATCACATTCTCCACACACCTGAAGGAGATCATGTGGATTGCTGTTGCTCTGCTACAATTGTCTTGTGGGGTCAAGTGTGGGATTTGCCACTTGTAGCCTTTTGGATTTGGGGGACATTTCAGATTCTGGAAGCTTATAGGAATATTCAATCTGTAGTAAGTTTTCAATTTTATTAAGAATCTCATGCATTTTTCCCTTGGATATTTTAATAATTCACATACATGGCAGTATACAACTTTGATTAATTTATTAAACGTTTTGACTACTGTCTTAGTTAGGGTTTCATTGCTATGAAGAGACACCATGATCAAGGCAACCCCTATAAAGGAAAACATTTAATCGGGGCTGGCTTACAAGTTCAGAGGTTCAGTCCATTATCATCACGGTGGGAAGCATGGCAGCATGCAGGAAGACATGGTGCTGGAAGAGCAGAGAGTTCTGCATCTTGGACCACAGGCAGCAGAAGGAGACTGTCACACTGGCCAAATGAGCATATATACGAAACTCAAAGCTCCACTTCCACAGTGACACACTTCCTCTAGCATGGCCACACCTCCTCCTAATAGTGTCACTCCCTATGGCCAAGCATTCAAACACATGCATCTATGGGGCCAAACCTATTCAAACCACCACAACTACCTCTCAAGTATTGAGTTTACATGCTTTAGCCTAGTGAAAAGTTATCTCTTGATAACTTTCAAGACATCTAATCAGATACACTCCAGAGTTGGATGTGCATTTGAATCAGGCCTGTCCCCCAGGTTCATACTTTTAACCTTGGACCTGTGGCCAGGGCATCATTTGGGAATGTGTAGGAACCGCGGTCTCAGTGGTCTCCATTTGGGGTACATTTACTGGAAGATGATATTTGAGTCACAGTTCTGAGGTTTATTGAACATGAGGCCATCATCATGTGCAACTGTGGATAGCTGGTCAATCCACTCACAACATGTTACCCTTGAAATCCAGGTTGCCCAAGATGGAATTTTGAGGCTCCTATGTATGCGCTTTGGCAAGTCCTTTATCTTTTGTGCCTCTGTTTCCTTCCCTGTGAAAGAGGATAATAACACTGCTCACCCATTAGGGTTCTTTGTTTTGTTGTTTTGTTTTTGTTGTTTTATTTCATGCTCCCTACAGACACTCAGCAGGCTCTAAAAGAAGCACATTGCCTTTGGGTTGTACAAATATCTCATTTTTAAAAATGCAAGGGGTGGGAGGTATATTATTTGTGACAGTTACATGCTTAGTGGTTTTTTTGTTTGTTTGTTTTTGTTTGTTTTACTGCACTCTAGAAAAGAAAGAGCTCAGGGGGTGTGCACATTCAGAGAGATCCCCACTGACAGAGCGCTGGGGGCTTGGAGAACAGATAAGGATGAGAGGGAGGCAGGAGGTGCCTTTGATGGAAAGATCCCGAGAGGCAAGGCTCCTGGCTGAAGCCAGGATGTAAGAGGGCAGGGTGTTCTTATCTTTTGAAGATTCTTATATCCTCCTCCTCAGAACATGGAAGAAGATGCCAAAAGTTGAGGACATGCCGTGCGTCACCCTTCACAGCATCATGGCCTCTCCAAATGCAGAGTATGTCCGCTGGAAGGTACACGGAGACTTCGTCTCTCAGGTAAAAATAAACAGGAAGCAGACTAGAGCTTGCAGGCTGCCCTGTCTCTGGCCAGGTACAGCACCTGAGCCATAGGCAAGAATAGTCTAGACTGCTGAGTAAGCCACTACTGCTCCTGAGGCGACTTTGCAAACCTAGCTGAAAACAAACATTACGTAAAATTCATAGACTGCTATAAGAATAACTAGCTGGTTTAGTGAAATGAACTTCCTGGTGGTAGTCAGTCCTTGGCCAGTGTCCTAGGGTCTAAAGATTGTAGGTCTCTTTCCCTTCCTTGTTAGGGCTGAAAGAAATTCAACTTACTCAACCTGAATGGCTTGGGATGATGGTGGGGTTGTATTTGTAGGATTAAGTCCCTGAGCTTTCCACTGACCCCGAGAATCTAACCCCTTGTTTCTCAGATATGTAGGAAAGCAAGCACTGCCTTTTATAATAAGAAAGTCCATAGCCTAGTGGAATTATGTGCAGGGACATCAAGACTGGAGGCAAACACAAGGTGGACAATCTAACACTGTGGCTCACAGAACATACCAGGCTTAAGCCAGATGGATAAGATTCTAAACTAAGAAGCTTATGCAAGAAAGGAATGGTGTCTTAGGGTTTTATTGCAGTAAAGAAACACCATGACCAAAGCAACTCTTATAAGGACAACATTCAATTGGGGCTGGCTTACAGTTTCAGAGGTTCAGTCCATTATCATCATGGCAGAAAGTATGGCACCGTGCAGGTAGACATGGTGCTGGAGAAGGAGCTGAGAGTTCTACATTTTGACCTGAAGGCAGCCAGGAGAGACTTTCTCTTCCACATTGGGCAGAGCTTGAGCACTAGGAGCCCTCAAAACCTGTCTACACAGTGACACACTTCCTCCAACAAGGCTACACCTATTCTAACAAGACCACGCCTCCTAATAGTCTCACTCCCTCTAGGCCAAGCATTCAAATAGAGTCAATGGAGGCCAAACGTATTCAAACCATTACAAACGGTTACTGAGATCTGACAAAATGGCTCCGCCATTAAAAAAAAAAAAAAAAGGGCCCTGGGGACCTGAGTTCAATAACCAGGGCCCACACAGTAGAGAGAGAGAACTGACTTCCACAAGTCATGTGTGTGCACACACATATATGTAGAGAGAATCTCTTATAAGAGTCACCAGTCAATAAAAAAGCTGATGGCCACTGAGCTGAGGCAGAAAATAGGAGGTGGGACACTGGCAGGAAGAGAGAGAATTCTGGGAAATAGTGAGAGAATAAAAGAGAGATTGTCCCAGGAAGATGTGATGAGACAGATGTATAGTACCTGAGCACAGGAAACCAGCCATGTGGCAGAATGTAGCATAGAAGAAATGGGTTAATGTAAGTTATGATCTAGTCAGAGAAGAGCCTAGCTATATGGCCAAGGTATTTGTAAATGTATATTAAGTCCAAGTCTTATTTCTTGGCGCATAGGGCTGGGACCAAGAACCAGACCAAACCTCTACACATATTTATTCTAAACAAACAAAGTTTTCTGAAGAAATACTGAGTATAAGAAAAAAGTTCAGGAAACCGTTAAACATACTTTGATAGGAAAAAGTAAAGGAAAAGAAAAGTTGGGTCAAGAAAACAATTCGTTTTTCTACAACATAAAGACCAGCGAAACATCAAAGACAAATTAAGAAATCTCACAATGGATAGAATTCTCTCCATCACCCCAGAAGACTCCTTCAAATGGCACCCACTCCAGGTTGTCACTACTCTATACTTTTGCCATTAAGGTTGTCACTGGTAGCCCATTTCATGTATATGTATGTGCGCCTTTTTTGCCCAGTTTCTTCAGTTAGTATAAACGCAGCCAAAATTCTCATAGAGTGTAACAATCCTGGATCCCTGCTACCAGGTTCTTCTGTGTGACAATGCACTCTGGCTGTCCTTTTGAGGCCCCTCAAGGCCCAGAAGACTGGCAAAGCACTTCTCAGACGCAGATCCAGGGCTGCACTGGAAGTCCCTTGCAGAGGGCTGGGTGGGGGAGGCAGGGTCCACACCAAAACGCTAAGCACTGGAGTTGATGCCTTTCTCCTGAAGTCCTGGACCTGGAAGGAAGTATACAGCAAGAGTTTTCTAGGCCCTGCCATCCCGATGTTCTACCAAGAGGGGTAGGAGGAGGTGTTGCTGACCTTGTTTCTGAGCAGACCGTGACGAGCAGGTGCCTGCCAGCAGCTCCTGACCCTTGCCACGCTCTGTTTCCCAAGCCTGCATACTCTCTTTCCATTGAAAACTTGCTGTCGGTCCCTTCGCATCCCTTCTGGGATCCGTGAGGATCAGAAGCAAAAGTTGCCTTTCTTGCAAATTCTTCTGAGCTTAGCACCCTGTCTATGTGGACCAAACGATAAGGGAATCTATCAGTCTTGTAGATCACAGCGGCTCTTCTAACAGGATCACAGCTTGATCCAATTTACAGCTCAGGGCTAAGGGCTTCCGCTGGGGATAGTTGACTGAGATTAGAACTTAGAACCCATGACATATGGTTCCTGTGATCTGAGACTGGCTCCATCAGTCTCCTGCCCCAATTCCCTGAATGTCCTGTCCCCACACACCTGTCCCAGGTGCAGCTCAATCTTTAAAAATGGGAAAAGGAAATAAGCGGAAGTGTCACTCTCTCCTGGGATGATGCTCAGGGGCCCTCCTGATACAGAGATGGTTTCCAGAGAAAATAATAGTTTTCTCCGCAGACTGTGCGCTTTTCTCTGAATGAGCTAAACTAGGCAGGAGAAGCTGCTACAGGCTCTGCCAACCAGAGAATGCCCAGGGAGTATTTACTTTGGCATTAGCTTCCAATCATGTAAAGGGAAGAAACAACTAAGTGTTCCACCAAACCACCTACATATGCGCCCGAGAGAGAGAGAGAGAGAGAGAGAGAGAGAGAGAGAGAGAGAGAGAGAGAGTATTTTAAAAGCCATTCTTATTCCCAGAAATGTGGATCCTTCTCCCTTCTGGGAGCACTGTGGGAAAATGCTGTCCAAAAACAACAACAACAACAACAACAACAAACCACCACCGTTATTTGACCCCGTGGATCTCTGTAATTACGTTTTCTCATTTTTTTTTTCTTTCTAGCTGAATTACTATGACTCTGTGAAAGCTGTCATTTCCAGCTCCAGTCACGAGCCCACAGCTCTAGTGATAGGTATGGTTGTCTATGCCTGCTTTTGGGCAGGGTCTCCCACCTTTTGGGCTTCTGCACTGTGACAGACATTCACATGCTGAGAAGGACGCCTCGGCACGGCACGCCACGCCACGCCGCTCAAAATGGATCTCTTCCTCTTTAGTTGGTAGTTAGGTTTCCAAGTCTCAGACCATGAGGCTGCTGGGGAGATGGAAAGGGAGAAGTTAATCAATATGCATCGAGTTAAAATATGAACAAAATCTATTTAGGGCAATACCAGGCTCTGCCGTCTGAGGGCTTCAAACACGCTGCATGATTTTACATGTGTGGGACTGTAGCTATGAAACGGAGTGATGGAGTGTTTGCATGAAGTGAAGAGGTGGGAACTTTTAAGAGTTCAAAAAAGCAGAGCCAGAGAGGTGGCCCAGCAGTTAAGCGAGGGTTAGGTTTGCAACACTTATGTGGCAGCTCTCATCTGTCTGAAATGCCAATTTCAGGAGATCTGACACCCTCTCTTGGCCTCTGCAGGTACTGCATGTACTTGGTGCTCTTACATGCCCTTGGAACACCCATACACTTCAAATTGTAAGCGGGTTCTTGATAAAACTTCCAAACTAAACTCACATTTCGTTTATGGATAGAAAGAAAGGTTTGGGGGATCAAACGTCCAAGTCTGCCTCAGGAAGATGGGGGGCGGGAGGAGCAGAGAGGAAAGCAGAATGGTGAGAAAAGCAAGCAGATTTAATGTGACAGGGGAGGAGGGCATCTTTGAGCTGATACAGGCTGAGCTAGACACCCTTGCCTAAGACAGTTGAATTTTAGGGGCGGGATTAGGGGAGGTCTTAATCTGAACCTGCCTATGGGATTCCTAAAGAATGATGACTTCTGTTTACACAGTAACAATCCCTCTGTTTACTCAGTAGGAGTCCTCTGTTGACACTTGGAACATAACAAAAATAAAATAAATCAGTATTTTTAAAATGAAAGTTACTGTTTTGGGGGCTGGAGAGATGGCTCAGAGGTTAAGAGCACTGACTGCTCTTCCAGAGGTCCTGAGTTCATTTCTCAGCAACCACACGGTGGCTCACAACCATCTGTAATGGGATATCATGCTCTCTACTGATGTATCTGAAGACAGGGACAGTGTACTCACATATACAAAATAAACAAATTTTAAAAAAAAGAAAATTACTGTTTTAAAGATCTATGAAGAGCCAACCCTTGGGCACACATGTTGTCTGAAAGATGAAGTGAATTCCAAGTTAGGTCAACCCATGATAGAAACACAGATAGGCTAGAGAGGGCATTCCCAGGTAAAATGCCTCAGTCTATGAGGGGGAAGCCATCATGGCCCATACTTCTTCACCCGTTCCTAACACTGCTGGATTGTGAATTAAAGTTCTTAACACATGAACTTGTGGGTGACACAGTCCAGTGTTTGTGTAGTTTTAAAAACAGGCTACGACTTATCCCGGGAGCCGCCAGCCCCTCCCAGCTCCCTTTTGCTCCATCCGGTTTAGCTCCAGGATTGATCACAACCATCCCCCAGCCCAGCTTTTTTTCAAACCCCCTTTGCTCTGGCTTAGCTTTGGGATCTGCTGCTGCCAGCCCCAACCCAGCTTCTCTCTCTACTTGCCTTTACTTCAGGAGGGGTTGTGTTACCAGCCCACTCCGGAGACCCTAGAATGCTTGGATAAAGTACGCACAGACAGCTTTATTATTTTAGAACTTGCCAGCTAGGCACAGTTGCTGGGCGCAGAATCTCCTGCCTGGAAAGGCATGCCTTCGTCAGTTATTATCTGTTTCTCCTCCTGCCCTAGACTTAGTGCCTTGTATCAGCTAGCCCCCAACAACCTCCCTACCCATAGAGGAGGCTCCAGGCCTTACATGGTTGCAGCATCCTCTTTCCTCCAAAACATGGCAGAAAAAGCCCTTCTTCCTTCCCTGCATCTCCCTTTCCTCTTGGAATCTGGAAGTCCCATCTGTAACTTCATTTAGCACTTAGCACCCACGGCCTTCTTTATTGACAAGTCAAGAACCAGCTGGCGAACAAGACCTTAGTGAGAGAACCTCCCCTTACCGTCCAGCCACAGCCCTCAATCCCAGTTTCCTTCTCTGCTCCCGTGTTAAACAATTGACCAAAAGCAACTTGGGGGAGAAAGGATTTATTTCAAGTTACAGGTTACAGTCCATCGTGAAGGGAGGCCAAGTCTGTAAATCAAGGCAGGAATCTGGAGATGGAAGTGAGTCACGGGGGGCTCCCCCTTGAAGAGTGGTTAGTTCTACAAGAAACCTGGGACAAGTCTCACTCAGTTTGGAGGCTCCTTCCAGCTTGCCCCTTACCTTAAACCTCTCCCTCCTACAGGCTGAGCTTCTCCTCCCCCAAGCTTTTCTCTGTTATATAATCCAGCCATTTTGGCTGCATGCTTTCTTGGGTCTCTTGGTCTCTCCTGGTTCCTCTCTTGTTTTCCTCCTCTCCTCTCCTCTTCCTTCTTGCTCTCCCTCTTTCTATCCCCTCTCAAGTCCAGGTTCAGTCTGGATCCTTCCAGAAACCTCCTGCTGTGGTCGCCCTCACATCTATAACAAACCTTCTCAACTACGTCTTGGAACGCTCATGTCCTCATTTTTCATTCAAAGGGTATATTTTTGTCCCCAGCACCATCCCACCTCTCTCTTTTTGCTTTCTCGCCATGAGGTGAGCCTCTTCGCTCCTCCATGTTACCACCAACCTGCTTCCACTCAGCCTGGAAGCCATGCAGCCTACCGAAAGCCTCGAACCTAAGCTAAAATTAAACTTCCCCCTCTTAAGTTGTTTGTCCCAAGAAAGGGAAGATGACTAGTGTGCAGCCCCCCACCCCAGAGCTACAGAATGAATCTGCAGCTAAATCAAGTGATGGCTTGCATGCATGTTAAACTCTGGGAGGCATTTATTCTTTTGCCATGGCAACATACTGACGCTGTACTAGCTCACCCCTTGAAGACATCCTCAGTTCTTCGTAGTTACTTCATTATGCTTCACAGTTATCTTGGAAAGCTCTTGACACCATGTTGGAAAACCCCAGGCAATTATTCAATGACACCAGAATCATGTTTAGTTTTTCACATAGATGCTGATCACGATCCCTTTCGTGTTTTAAAGATTTGACACCTGTCAGTGGTCCCCAGTTTCCAGTGGGGTGACCTGTGGAACTTTGTAAAATCTGGTTATCTGAGTTTTACCCTCCAAGATTATAGCTCAGTTGGGCAGATGAAATTCTCAGAAGAATGCTTTTCCCAACCCCAGCTCTACTCCCTCTAAAGCCTAACCTCTGACTCTAAGGGCCTGGTGTGAGCTCACCATGCAACCCATTTGTAATGTATAAAATACTAAAGACCCTCTGCTGCAACTCAGATCAGCCACCCACAGGTCAGCCTAGTTGACCCTGAGCCTTTGGAAAAACATTTCCCTCTCTCTCACACACACCCCTTTTTTATTCTCTAAAAGCTAGTTCCACTTGTCACAGAGCATCATGGAAAGTCAATACAACCTGTAGCAGCGTCTCAGCCTCCTGAGAACCAGCCCTCTTGCTGATTTCTTGATAGAAACCATCAGATGCCTCCTCCATCCCAGATTTTCTTTATAAACTCTGATCCATCAATGTTAAAGTTCTCAAAATGTTAGAGAGAGATGTGCAGTGGTTGGATTTCTTGGGAGCTTTCATTAGTTTTTCTTGGAACTTGGAAAGCTTCTTTTCTAGAATGCTAGCAGGTTCGAATTCTAAGAAGCCAAGGCTTGGCCTTTGGAGGCTGCAGCAGCCTGGAGTGCGGTGCTTGCTTGAGGAGATCAAAAGCAATTGTTCCCGAGGAAGGATCAGTGAGTTCTGGCTTTGACCCGGCTGCTAATACAACTGTGATGTTGGGCCTCGGTTTGCTATATTTAAATAAACAATGTGGTCTAGATTTCATTTAAATGTGTCTCCCAAAAGTTCATGTGCTGGGGACTTAGTCTCCAAAGTGGTAGCAATAAGAGATTGCAGATTTTTATGAAGTGGGGGTCTGATGGAAGGCAGTAAGTCATCGGGGACATCGTATTTGGAAGAGATTAATGTAGTTCTCCTGAAGCCTTGGCTAGTTTTAGAGTAGGGTGTGTGTGTGTGTGTGTGTGTGTGTGTGAGAGAGAGAGAGAGAGAGAGAGAGAATTTACCCTCTTCTTCTACTGTAGCTCCATATTTGCTATATTTTCATGCTCCTATTCTGCCTCCCCCACCCCACACACACACCACAGAGAGACACAGACACACAGAATCACACACACACACACACACACACACAGAGAGAGAGAGAGAGAGAGAGAGAGAGAGAGAGAGAGGCACAGATAGACAGCAGAGAGACCAAGACACACACACACACACTTCTACCATTATGGTATCCCTCATATTGTAATGTACCTGCCTTAGCCAGGTTTCTATTGCTATCAATAAACAGCAGGCACAAAAGCAACTTGGGGACAAAAAGGTTTGTTTCATCTCACGGTGTCCAATCCATCACAAAAGGGCACACGACAGGGCAGGAACTCAAGCAGGATCCTAGAGGCAGCCAGTGACCCAGAACCCTGCTCACTGGCTTGTTCTTCAGGCTCATGGTCAGCTACCTCTCTTACACAACCCAGGACTACCTGCCCAAGGATGGCACCGTCCACAGAGCATTGGGCCCTCCTTTCACCTCAAGTATTAATCAAGAAAATGCCTCACAGCCTTGCCTACAGGCCAGTCTGACAGAGGTGTTTTTCTCAGTTCAAGTTCCTTCTTCCCAGATGATTGGAGCTTATATCAAGTTGAAAAACAAACAAACAAACAAATACCCAGCCAGGACAGCACCCAAAGGAGCCCTCACCAGAGGTTGAATAGGTAGGCTACCTGATCCTAGAGTTCAAGTCTCTAAAACTGTGATGTAAATACACCTTGTTTGGTCCAGCTAGGTGCAGATGCTGAGGCAAAAGGATCACAAGTTCAAGGTCAGCTTGAGCTACAAGAAGTCTTTCA